TCAAAACCCTCTGCTTATTATCGGCCGGCCAGTGTCACGGGAACTCACCGTATCTCGACTAAAAATTTCTCATCTCTTTTTTTTTGTCCATTTCCTTCGCTTAACGGTTACAGACAATTACGAACAATTAGTATGGAAGGGAAGTGAAATCAACAATTCCACCCCTCCGCCCCCTTACCCCACACGAATAATAGCAAATACTTTTTATCCCAACGATCGATAAAGTCGATCCCTTTATAACAATCGACCGGTGATTATTCAGATTTCGCATTAACGAGAACGAATCTGCAATTATCGACCGTTGATCGTACCTTAAATCATAATGACAAGTTCATGTAAACCAGTATAATCTCCCTTTTCCCCTCCGCCCGCGCCATAAAACCGCAAACAGCGCCGCCACCACAACCGCCCAGTGCTTCGAATTCAGGCTATACGTTCGAATAAATTCTAACGACATTTTACAGTATATAATAGCAAAAATTCACAATTATTAAATAACAAGAACGTCTTTGGGATTACGAAAATTCGATACAATTGGGCAAACAGCCATTCAAAAGGGCTTTTTATTCTTTATCTTGATACCATTAAAAAATATTCAATTCAAGTGCTTTTATACGATTAGACGTTATTATGCCGATTATAAAATTGAATGACATTGAATGCTAGAATAATAATAATAATAACGATAATAACGATAATAACGATAATAATAGGAGAGACTCAGTTCTTATGTTTAGTCTGTGAATCGCGATACTTTTTCATTAAACACGATCGAAATTTTGTAAATCGATATTGCGTGAGTAAAAGTTTTTAAAAATATTTCATCAACCTGGGTAAGGTTACCGTGGGTAGCGTTAATCTTAAAATTATAAAACACGTATTGCAACGTTAAAAATTTATTCTTAATTATAATTAGCCACTATAAATAATCGTTATAATTATTATTACAGGTTATTTAGAATAGTATTTTAAAAGTATTATATATGAAGCGTCGAATCCAACTAAATCCGATGGGATGAAAATTCAAGATTTATAATACACAGATACATCAGATGGCCGATTATCAAATTTCTTTTTCATTATTTATCACGATCGTTTTAATCACTACATACATTAATAATATCAAATGACATTAAGAACTTTGATATTTGCTACCTTTCGTATCCGGATGAGCTCTCAATTTAATCGACAATCTCTTATTAATTCCATGCACTAAGGTTTTGGTAAATAATTTTTGAACGTTTAATTAAAAAAACTGTTAATAACGCATGGAGAAAATTTAAAAGCCCGTAAGTATTTCGTAAAATTGAAACATTGACGTAACACTATCGTTAAATGAAACCTCTGATGTTGCAAAATACCTTTCTCTTATCGGTTATATTGGCCAATAACTCAATTTTCATTCATTTAAAAAAAATAAAGACAGTCAAGACAGTAATTTCATAAGTGATTATTTAATAAACATTCCACCACTTTTATGCCGATCGATCGTTCAGATTTAGCGTTCATTTATTTAGTAGAACGCAGCAGCATTAAAAATTATCTAAATTTAATTTCAATACGCCCAATACATACTCAATCGTGTTCATTCTAATCCATTTGTGATTTATCGTTAGTAAATATAACATTTTTTACATCAAAAGCTTCATCACCAAGAAATATTAATTATCGTACATTCATGTTAACTCTATCAATGCTCGAGATATTATGTTCATTGAGCATTTCTTTCTTCTCAATACTATTATCGTTAATCTAAAAATGATTATAAATTTTATTCAAAGAAATTAATTATCATTATCTATTTTTTTAATGTAAATATTTCTCATTAGTTTTTCTTACGTAATATCATCGTGTTTACATTTTTTCTGTCATTTTCCTCGATAACGTACTCTTGGGGCAGTGGGGGGGGGGGGAGGAAGATGCTTAATTTTTACATAATGATTGACTTAAATGTATTATAGATGAACAATATTAGACTATATAAAGTGAAGAGAGCAACAATAAAAGTAACGAAAGCAATGACAAAGTATTGGACGCGCAAAGTAATTTATGACCAATTGTGAAAGTAAAATTTCCAAAAATAACATTAATCAATGTCTTGTCTAATATATTCACTCGATATATTACAAAATACTTAATACTACCAATACTGTCGCACAATTCTCTAAATATTCTAATTTTCTCTTTCTAATTATATTGTCGATCAATTTTGCATAACGGCTAACTAAATATTCTTATAATAACGCGGATAATATTTTTGAAAATAGTGCTTGATTTAACAAGCGTTTGTTGAAGAAATGAAATAATTATAATTCCTTTGGAATATACATTATTACATATATTACATTTAATTTTTCATTTAAGTTTAAGCGGTCAATTTTACACACACGTGCACGTGCAACGTTCGTATTTTTAATTTGCCAATTCAACCGCAATTACAAAAATTAATATTTCAATAGTTAGTATGAATGTTTATATAAATCTCTCTCCCTCTCTCTCTCTCTCTCTCTATATATATATATATATATATATATATATATATATATATATATATATATATAAAGTAAAAGTGAACGTGCTTTTTAAACGCGAGCGTAGAAATGAAAATAGAAGGATAATTAGAAGTTATAGATATAAAATATTGTATTAAGATAAAAATCTGAAAGTCTTAACTCTTCAAACTTTCCTTTAAAGTATGTCGTTAAACTTATGTAATGTAAAACTATTTTAAATTCATAAATTTAATTCGAGTCTATTGACAATTCAATATCTTTATTTGGTACATAGGAACAAAAAATACAAAAAAAAAAAATCGATAAACAATATGTATTTATCGACAAACGCCATATAGAATACCAATTTTCTATACAGTATTTGCTACTCTATTTTTCTCGGTATTCATGCGTATCAAAAGATGACGTTACAAGATACAAGAAAATGAACGATATCACTGTCAATGATATTAGAATTATGTCCATTTAGTGTCCAACTTGCACTGGCATCAATCATCATTGCGCGATCGATGTAACAATAGCATTTTATTATCATCCTTTATCAACTTATTATTATACATTGAAATTAATAGAGAATCGAACATTATGTTAATATCTTAGTTAAGATGAGCTTCTTTCTTATATTCAATTTTAATAATTAAAGATATTATAATATATATGATATTAGAGTTAATGGACGTGAAAAACTTACCTTTCATCCACCGATCACGTATTATAAATATTATTCTATAATTTTCGACGAGAACATAATATTTGCACGAAGATGTTAAGATTATTTCTTTCGGACGTGTATTAATCGATTTTCTTTTGTTTTTATTACAATGTCCTTCAATACGAATAAAAGCTAAAAAATTTCATACGTAACGAATGAATTTGAGGATTAGCGTTATAATTAATAAAATTTTTGCAAAAAGATCTCTGTTATACGGATTTTTCACAATTATTAATATCGACGTATTATTTTTCGTAAAAATAAATTATTAAATTAAATTGATTATATGGATTTTTTTTTATTTAACAATATAAATGAAAATACGTGAAAAACATAATGGTTTTTAAGGTAAACAAGCAGCTTGAATTAATGGATGATGGATTATAATTTTTCATATATTAAATTTTATATTTATAAAAATATTTATAAAAAATATATATATATATATATATATATATATATTAATTTATTTACTATATTATATTACATTATCAAAAAATAACGATTTTCTCACCAATACTGGAAAAAAAATCATAAACTATAATTAATCACAAGTAATTTTTTTTATAATTTCATCGTGAATAAGGACAGGAGCGATGTTTAATGAAATTATCATAGTTTTACGAGTCTGGCTAATGAATTTATTAAGCATGTATATAAAATATTTGAAAAGTAAAAAAAAAAAAAAAAAAAAAATAAATAAATATAATAATAATGAAAAAAGCTTTAATAAATTTCTCAATCAATGTAATTTAATAAACATGAAAATCTATTTGGCAGAAAGCCTTTTTATAACCTAATATGAAATAAAATTGTTATTTTTTAATCGCCGATACTTGCGATTAAGAGTAAATGGTAATATTACAATATCCATAGGCATGATAACGAATAATAATTCGAGGTATTTAAACGACTGATTAGCAATTACTGAGATAAGACTTCATCTATCGATTATTAAAAATTAGTATAAATAAATATTTGCGCGACAATTGATAAGCAATGGAAATGAATTTTGTTTTTCATACGAATGATGAAGATAAAACGTGATAGTTTGAATTCAAATTTATTAATTGAAATGCCGTTTCTTAAATAAATACACTTAAAAAGTTTAATAATGAATTACACTATACAATAGTTATTTATCGAAGTATCATATGATTTTTACGACTTTGAATATCTTGGATAAGATATTGTGTCAGGAGAGCACTCGTATAAAATTTAAACAGTTGTGCCAATACGTTACATTACATTTCGTCATTTCGCGATCATTGAGTCATCGGATTCGACAATTTGTATATACGATTCCCATGCTGCCATTATACACACGGGCACGGATATTGTCATTTACAAATTTTTCTTTCTCCTTACGAGTAAAAATAGCTCTGTACACACTCGTTTGGCTTCGTGGACGGAATAAAATGCAAACCAAAGGCCGACGTCTTTCCTATCCAATTGTATTTACCACGAATACGCGCACACACGTTAATGCGTTGGTTGCCTCACAACATTAAGTACGTCATACGTTTAAAAAAAATCCTCTAATGATGAAAATAAAAAGTCAAGCAGAAGACGAAGAGGAAAATAGAGATGAAAAGAAGAGATGAGCCAGGGTCATTATTCGCTACCCCGTATAAAGACGAATTTTTTATCATCGTCTCTCTCTCTCTCTCTCTCTCTCTCTCTCTCTCTCTCTCTCTCTCTCTCTCTCTCCTTCTCACCAACTTCTCTTCAATCTCTAACCGAATCCACACCCACCCTCGTCGTCGAGTTCGTTGCGATTAATCAGCATATTAAAAACGGTCGCCTCGGGTAATCATCGTGATCGTCCTAGCAGTCGAAACGTCAGAAAATGCCGAATCTCTTTTTGGAGCCGCTGCTGATGCGCTTTTTGCGAGCGGAGGCGATGGGCTCGGAGGTCTCGCCAGCGGCCGTCGGGGCGACGCTTGGCGGCGCCAGTTTGCTGCGCACGTGCTCGTCGAGGAGCGTCTGCATGTCCATTTGCCACTGCTCGAGCTGCTCGCTCAGCTCGATTTTCTGCTGAATGGCCTCCATCAGCTGGCTGTTTATCTGGAGCATGTCGATGCGCGTGCGCGCGAGCTCGACCTCGACCTTGTTCTTCCTCGCGACCGCCTGGTCCCTCGTCTGCTGGAGAATACGCGTCGGCATTATTAACGCAGTCGCTGTTTGTTCACAACCTGTTTGTTCTCCTCGTCCTCCTCGTCCTCCTCCTCCTCCTCCTCCTCCTCCTCCTCCTCCTCCTCCTCATCCTCCTCATCCATCCTCCTCATCCATCCTCCTCATCGTCATCTCACGTCACCTCGTGGCGAAGATATCGCGGAGAAGGAGGAGGAGAGGAAAGGCTCGAGAACTCACCTGAAGCGCCTGGGCGAGAACCTCGTCCTTGGACAGCTGGGAGTCCTCGATGTCGTTGCGCGCTCTGTCCCTCTCCTCCTGGGCCCCTTGGAGCTCGGCCTCGCAGAGTTTGAGCTTACTCGCGGTCTCGAGCAGGGTCTCGCCTCGCCGTCTCAGCTCATCCTGGGCGTGCCTCAGCTGGTCCTTGGTCTGCTCGAGCTCCTCCTTCGAGCGGTGAAGTTCGACGGCGAGACCGAGCTCGGCCGGGCCACCCCGAACGCCGGCCAACGCCAGGCCGAACACCTCCTCGACGATCTCGGAGAGGGCACCCGGGTAATTGGTCTGTAAGGGAGAAACGAGATGATCGGTCGACTTTCGTCGAGAGTTCGCGGCGAGTCGGGCGCTACGGGAGATCGATCGTCGTTGACCGAGAAGGTCGCGCCAAGGGCGAGCCTCCTTAGTTCCTCGTAGGTGACTCATCGGCCATTGGGAGTAGCGCGGGGCAGAAATAAAATATCGCAATTGGCGACAGCAGTTGGCGACGACGTGGCCACGATGCGTTTATTCGCCAATTTAAGTTATTATGCGAATTGTGCGACTAGAGGGCTAGGATGTACGAATAATAATGAATAATCGGGGGTAATAATAATAAATAAGCAGGGCACAACGATGGCTTGGGAATATTAGTGGCTTCGTAATGGGTAAGTCGAGCTCTTGTTTGCAATTTGGTTATTATCATAATTTTTGTCACGATAAGATGGCTCATCTCCAATGAGGAGTAAGCCAATCGAACGTAAAGGTAATATTACTTGCGATATGTTGCTATTCTTGTTTACCGACTGCTCGTTTATCCATATCATATAACTTATTATAGAAACATTATATATGGCGTAATTTACCTTTACTTGCGTAAATAGTCGAGAATGTTCCATTAAATTCGCACTGTTGCTGTGTATCGGCTATACACATTACGCGCTCGTACGTGTGTGTCTATGGGTGGATGGATGGGCAGCTATTCAAAAGTTATAATTAATCGTAGAAAATACCTTTCACTAATAATTTATTTCGTATCATGTATACTATAAAAATATAGCGAAAGACATTAATTTCAGTTTATGGATTTTAACTGTTATATCAGCGAATTGAAATTGAGAATCGAGACGGACTTACTTTCTATTATGATTTAAATGCTTTGAATTAACGCTTGGATCGACGCAGATAAAACTTAATAAATTCGCATATAAATCCGTGCGATACGATATTAACGAACGTCGGGATATTTTGGCGATTGGAATTACCAAAGGGCGGAATAGCAAAGTTAATAGTGACTGGTGCTGGCAAGCAAGGACCATCGACTATAAATTTTAAGAAAATACGGAAAAGCAGTGAAACGTCGAGTGCGACTACAAAAGTAAGCGAGATAAAAGTATTTTGAATAAGGATAAAAAAGTGTAAGTTGGTGTGAGCGCTCGATCCGTGCTGTTTAAGATTTTCAAGCCAATGTTATATTTGTGAACTTTAGGACTGTATTTGGGAAAATTCAATTGTTCGTTCAATTGTAATATTGCGCTCTCGTATGTTCCATTATATTCTCGTGATAGGCCGTTAATGGAAAGAAAAAAAAAAAAAAAAAAAAAAGAAAAAAAAAGAAAAAAAAAGAAAAAAAAAAACAAAAATGCACAGTCCCCGAGCATAAAATAAAAGAAGCAAAAAAAAATGTTAAATCGTCACACTCGTACTTTACTGGTATTTGTGTGAAATGTTATAATAAATATATCGTAACGAAACGAGTCGATATCGTGTAGAAAGCTTCACGCGCGCCCACGCACACTTTTCACCATTGCTCTAGCATGATAAATGTTTAATCGCAAACTAATTACAAATTGACACGAACCCTTTCACGTTTAAAGTTCAATATGATAAATCGAGCGATTAAAATTTTTATCCCCGCGACATTTCAAAGGATCCGTTGCCTGTAAAATATCAAAGTTGAATAATTTATGTTTTTCGTTTTTTGTATATTCTGGCATATACTACATACCGACTGTATTTAACAACAACGATAGAGCTGATCGACATATTGAAAATATGCATTAAACGTTGAATTAAATTTAATATGGCATTCTTAGGCCAGTGAGCGTGTTATCGTTACATCATAATTCATTAATAAACAAAGAAGAAAAAAACGAAAACAACAACAACAACAACAACAACAACAAGAAAACGAAGAAAAAAAAAAGATTTTAATCTTGAAAGTAGTATTGAAATGGCAGATACTGATATATATGGTGAAATTTGTATTTTAGAAAAAAAAACTTTTTATCCGAGTCAAGTCGAATGAAAGATCACGGGTGGTGTTTTTAATAAGAAATAATTTCATCATATTCAATTCAATTGATGCTGCTACAATATTATCTTGCTTTTAAAGCCAATTTATTAGTTCATTTAACGGCATCATTTGGCAATGATATTTCCTTTCGGTACGAGATACCATGAATCATCGCAAGATCATTTATAAGGCGCCTACTATAAAGGAAGAATAGTATAATTTTACAATATTCATTAAATGACGAGATTCTGTTAGTTTCTGTGAGATGATAAATGAGTAAAAGTGAGACGTGAATAAGTGAGGCGCGGCTAAGTTTTGTTCGTTACTTCTTTCTTGCTCTTCACAACTAAAATCATCTTATCAATCGAGTAATTTCATTATTATCATTATTATTAATTTAACGTGATTGCGCACCGCACGCTGTACACTCGACATTTCAAAGTTCCATTAAAAATATAGTTACGTTTAGATTGTAACAGCCGCCTACTATTATTAGTGGCTAAATGACGAATGGCTTGAAAGGAAAGGTAGTCCTCGAGTTTTATCGATTCATAATTATTCCAACAGACGCGTTCCATTTAATTGGCCGTAAGTTGCCTTAAAGTCATCGAGAAACGTATTGAAAGGTTATGCGCCCAGTCTCGTTGAGTCTCTTTATTAATCTCGGAGTGGAAGGCGGTAGGGAGCGAAGACTCGAAGCTTTGATAGAAATGAAATCTCTTGCGATTACTGCCGGTGATTAATCGAGAGCTCGATGGCAAAGCTAATTATAAGAGTTTCGTCGGGGCCTGACGTTTCGCGGGGTACATAACGGACACGCTCAACCTGCCACAACATCAGCTGCCCTTTCCATCCCACCAGCTTCATCGTTTCAAAACCTAATGATACTAAATAAAGGAAAGTAAAAGCTTTATAGAGGGAAGTGCGTGCGCGTGGGCGTGGACGTGGGCGGCACTCGAAGGGCGCTGAAAGGGGAAGGAAGCACCCGGATGTAGGAGGAAGCTCACCTCGGACTCGCTGACGTTGTTGAGCACGAGCATCGACTCGTCGCAATCGCTCTGCAGCCCGGAGTCGTCCTCACCCCGACGAAGCTGACTCGAGAGCTCCCGTAATCTGCGGCAGGCCCGGCCGACCTCCTGGTCGAGATCCTGGCGCTGCTGGAGCTCGAGTCCGAGCGAGCTGCCCGCGCTCTCCTCGTACTCCATCTCCGCTTGGAGCGAGCGCGGCTGTGCCTGTAGTTGATGATTATGCTGCTGTTGTTGTTGTTGTTGCTGCTGCTGCTGCTGCTGCTGCTGCTGCTGATGTTGTTGCTGTTGCTGGTGTGACTGGGCTCGGCGTTCGGATCCATCACCACTCTCGATCGCGGCGAGGGTGGCCGCCAGGTCGTCCCTGTAAATAATAAGAGTGACCGGGGTTAGTTTTGGTTTCGAGGGTGGTCGCCGAGCTTGCCGTGGGAAAGATCTCGCGAGTCGGGATCTCAGGAGCAAACCGCTCGAGTCGGACGAGATTTTTATAGCTGTTTGGGGATCGATGACGCTTTTGTCGATTTTGCAAGTTACGCGATCGTCCGCTTAACGTCTTTTCAACGTCCAAGGCGGATAAAGTGCCTATCGGAGAGAGCAAACACCGTTAATTTGCTATTTCATTTGTATCGTTCTTCTTTACTTTCTTTATTATTCTCGCTTTTCTTTATTTCTTTATTAATGGTAGTAAGATAACCTCTTTTTCACGCTGACTTTATGCGTTGTTATCTAGTGGTGCACGACAATGCAAACGATACTACAACGACTGTCGATTCGGTGCCAAATACGAGTAAAATAATGTTACAATTGCGTCGTACGTCACGAAATTTCGCGCTTATCGCTATTTTCCATTTCCCGTCGGATCGCATACAAGCATAGTAGACGCTTGCCTTTTTCTTCTCTTCTTTTCTTCTTTTTATCGCGTGATTCGATTTTGGTATCTTTTGCTTTAAATAATTATATATAGTTAAAGGATTGGCAATTTTTTCATTTTATGTTCAAAAATTAACGTTTAATGCATTTTAATTCGTCACTTACTTAACGTGTCACTTACAAGTAGTGGCGCTTGATTATCCATTTATAAAATAAAAAATATTCAATAAATTTGCATTACGTGCAGTAAGCCATTAGATAGAATTTATCGTTGAATACAATTCGATCGTAAAGTTTAATTCTTAAGCTTCAAAAGTTATAAATATAAAATACTTATCGATTAAACTGAAAATAAGGATCAAATTGATGAAAGATAGGATTTACAAAAGACTCGACTGTCGTTGTATTATTCACGAATTTCTTAAAAAAATATGTTTACGTAGACGAAGTTGAATCGAATGTATAGCGATAGAAAAAAGTATATTGATTTATCACTTGATAAGTCATAGCGATGAGCCCACTAAATAAAATCTAAGAATTAGCATTATTGGCGCTTTGCTTGAGAGCGTCGCTACCAATACATGCGTTTATCCTTAATGTGTGTGCGTGTGCGCGCGCGCGTATGTGTGTTATGCGGGCGTGTGTGTAAATTGAGATTTGATAGTGGTTTTATTTGTATTGTAGAGGGACGAAAGGATGCTCTCTCTATCTTTCGCCTTGTTGCACTCCATATCAAGTTGTGTTCGCGCGCGATCGGTAAAAGTTCTGCGAGTGCGATCAGCCGCAGTTTCATTTTTGTCCGGTACCTTCTCTTCCCTCCCACATACGCGTCTCGGGATCAAAAGTGCCCAATTCACGGGGACAAGGAGATTTACGCCTACGTTACTCGCGTCTCGAAGCCAAGAATTTAGATGCACGAAACTTTGTATAGAGTTCTCTGGAGTGGGTGTTTAGAGCAAACAGCTGTCAACGTGGCTGACGCAAGCTCGGCGTGTACCCGAGATACAATAAAATAAAAAAAACAACCTACTGAAATAATTCTCGTAGTGAATATCTCGGCGTGGGTCGGGGAACGGAACGAGATGGAAAGGCACCGCGCGTGAGCGTGGGCTCGGCGACGGCAACGGCCATGATATTCGTCCCGAGGGCTTAAGAGAAAGCGCTGGAGTGTCGGTCGAAAGGGTTATCGGGGTGTCGACGATTCACGGCTGATCACATCCGTAGCCCCTGCTCCGGTTGCGAAAATGCGCGATTGGCAGTTGGAATTGCCTGCCTCGTCCCTTGGTTTGCGGGACCTTCGGGCTCGCGAGGCTATAGCAAAGGTCAAGTCTAATGTAATGGTCGGACTGGTAATGGGGCAATCGACACCGACGCGAACGCCAACACATTTACAACATTGTCGCGTTACGAGCATCGTTCGGTGAGTGGGGAGAAAGATATTAACGGAGAGGATGCCAAGGTTGACGATACCGGACGGGACGATGATCTATTAAAACGAGACTAGAGTGTCATCTGCGAGTACGAGTGGACTTGCGCAATTCAAGTGACTAGCAGCCGCGTACTTATCGCGCATTTCGACAATAAGTAATTAGTAGGGTAAATCATTCGTACGTGACGTGGTGTTGTTATATTGAGAGCACGCCGATCATAAAAATCATTGACCTTTGCATGGAAAATTATACGCCCTAGACGTTCGAACGTTGTTTTTATTCGTTATTTGTTTTTTGTTATTTGTTTTGATTTTGATTAGAACTTGGAACAGTGAATTATAAAAATCTACTACCTTTACAGATATACAATTATTTCAAACGAGGAGAGAGAGAGAGAGAGAGAGAGAGAGAGAGAGAGAGGGAGAAACAAGAAGAAAAAAATCGAAAGTTTTTTTTTCCTTTTTATTTTCCGTACGAATTAATAATATTATTTGACAATGTTTGCTCCGACTATTTAATTAAAATATCTTTCGTCACTATCAAAGCATAATGTCGCTTCACCTACTTTAAATATAATACGACATCCTATTTAATATCTGCTAATTGCGTACAATTGTAAATAATCAAGCATTCGTATTCGAAAAACCACAACAACCATTCTTTCACTCGATAAAACATTCAATAAATTATTATTGCCCAATAGTAATTGTTACTATTAAACTTGATTGGTAGGCGAGCGATCATCGGCCAATGATGAGATTAAACGGTTATTTGTGAATTAAAGCTAAATTATTGGGCTGAAAGTCACTTGATACTAGTGTCACGATCTGCACATAAATGTTGCGATAAAAATTTTGCATAAGATTGGGGAACGAAGTCGATCGATAACCGGAACGTTGCGTAGTGAAAACTACATCGTTTCCCAGATTCGCTCGATTGCAATTTATTGCGTAAATTAATACTACAAAGCGGCGCGTTAAAACAATAAAATTCACTTCAACAACAAAGAAGTTGACAAAGTAACGTTGAATGGCATCTCGAATCAATAATCCAACATACGTTATTCGAACTTTTTTTCTATCATTTTCTTTTTTCATATTATCTCGACCATAATGATTAAACCATTGTGTTACTTTCAATGAAAATCTGTTGAATGTTGTGTTTGACCGATGCAAAGTGGCGCGACGCGATCGTGTAATTCGAAAAAAGTGTCGTGCAACTTGGCCGAAAGCAAGTGGACGCGAACCTCGGCCAAAGAGAGCAAAGATACCCGAGACTGCCTCAAGCTCGAGGATGGCACCTCCTTGGCACGGAATTTGTCGCTCTAGTCGAAGGGGAAGGGAAAGGGGATGGGAGGACGTTACCTCGAAATTTTTACGTACCTTTCGCGCTCGGCGAGGGTGGCCCGACGCTCGGCTTCGTGCCCCAGACGCTCCAGGGCCATCGCCCGCTCCTCTGCTTCCTCGAGGGCCGCCATCGCTCGGGCCCTTTCTTCCCGCAGCTCGAGGGAGCGCCTCTCGAGCTCGGTCCGTTGTTGCGACACCAGCTGCACCTGCAACGCAACAATGAGAACTCCAACTTCCGGGTGCCGACGGCCAGGCCTTACTCCTTATCTTAGAGGAGGCCTTATCGCCGCCCGGCGCACCTCCCTCCCCAACCCTTCACTGTTATCGCCATCTCCCGTTCGAAGCGTCGATGGTCATCAAGGAAATGAAGGAGAGCGTACGAGCGCTGCACGAGGAACGAAGCCTTCCGTGGCTTAGTGGCGCGCATTACAAAATCGCAACTCCGCTTCACCCGGGAAATCTCGGTGCTCACTCCTCCCATGATCTATTCACCTATTACTCATAGGGCAGCACTCGCACTTATTTATTATTACTTTTAATGCTGCCGTGCCGTATATTTGTACGATAGCCGCCGCCTCACACTCCTCCCATCTCCTCCGCGAGTTTCTTAAAGCCGACATTCTACTGGAATATGGGGTGCAAGTTTTACGCATTTGCCGCTTTCATAATATGTCGATTACAATGATTAAGATTACCTATTTACATATCCGTATGTGTTTACGAAATTAGCGGCAAATTTCTTTCTATGCGCATGACAAATGTAAATGAATATCCGCATTTTTTTGCACTACTTTGACTGCTTTCGGTTCGAGAGCCTTTTAACGTTACACTTATCCCTTCATTCGCATCTTTTATTTCCGACTAAATATTTTCTCACTTATTTTATGTGACTAGAATAATCATTACTATAGGATTGTCCATAAATCTCACGTATTGTGGCCTTTTAATACCGAGACTTCCAACGTCAGAAATATTGAAAAAATGTTTCAACATTTTTACGTAAAATTGAAGTAAATTGAAATTTTGAAATTTATTATCATATCGTATATAGAAAATACAAACTTCACTTTTATCATTTCTAATCACAAGCTTACGATAACGACGATTTAAAAGAGAAAATTATTAACCGCGTTAGACATCACCTTGCTAGTTTAAAGTGTATAGGGATTTTAATTAGATTTACGTGTATCTAGAGCACTGACTGACTTTATAATTTGTTGGATGTCAATGAATGATTTTTTTTGATTTTATGATGTGACAAATGTTGCCGAAAATGGTAAATTGATTACGAAAAGCGTTCGTACTCTCGTGTCATGAAATAACAAAATTTTGCCTTACGTAATAAAAAAACATTTATACTAATGGAATATTTTCATTCTAACGTGCGTTATATAAAGACAATTAAATAAAAAAAAACACCATAAAAAAAAGTTTGGCAACGATTATTCTCGGCTGATTTTGATTTTTTTTTTTTTTTTTTTTTTTTTTTTTTTTTTTTTAATTAAATGCGTCGTATATTATTTTAATTTAAATATAATCACAAATTAATTATTATCACTTAATAATAAATGAAGATTGCTCGTTACAACATTAATTCTTGATTACTTCAAAGAAAACGAGTACTTGCTTTCTAATATCGTACAATCTTAAATATCTTGAGCGGCCGTTGCGGCCATAATAATTACAAGCGTTGGTAAATTATATCGAAAGTATTAACAAATTTGCATTATACCATTTTTAATTTCGATTATTTAAAAATATTAAATAAAGCAATGTTTTTATGCACACGAGGCTTTCGAGTTGTATTTGCGAAATACTTCAAAAGAGTTATTACGACTATTTACGATATATATATATATATATATTTCAATTTTACGCGAATCATATAAAGTTTTCTTTATCATTCTAGTAATTCTAGTAAATTCTAATTCTAGTAAACGATTTATTATTAGAGTGTAGGCTACTAACCAACGTGCATGCGTATAAAATTATAAAGCCTTGCGTGCCATTAAATTTATTAAAAAGCATATTGTTAATTAATGTATACGCATCAATGAGAGCAATTTTTCGTGATTTATTAGCAATGTTTTTCCTTTTCGTTTTCGTTTTCGTTTTCGTTTTGTATCCCTTTTTTGTTCCTCGGCCAATTAAGAATATATATACCCCCCCCCCCCCCCTCCCCCTATAAAAGCATACAAAGACATACTAGAGTTGTACGCATAAAATTTATCGAGTTCAAATTGAATTAACACGTAATCTAATATTTACGTAATAGTACATTGCGAAACGTCGGTCTATTTAAAACATCGACTTAATAATATATCTATTAATAATTATCTTTATTTACACCTAATGAATTTTAGCTTTTTAAGTGACTGATTATAAAAATGGAAAGTCTCGCGGCATAGTAAGTTCCATCCACTTACCGCAAAAATAGTACATTAATAAACGGCCAGGATGAGAGTGGTTAAGTTAATAATCTATTATCGGTGCGTCGTTAATTAATTTCGAAAGAAGGCTTCGTTCACTCTCTCTCTCTCTCTCTCTCTCTCTCTCTCTCTCTCTCTCTCTCTCTCTCTCTCTCTTTCTCTATATATCTATCTATAATCAATCTCAATATCTACCTCTTTTGTCTCTCAATACGTAGCTCCAGATAGCGCCCGTTAAAAAATGATTATCTTTCATGGAGTAAGCGCGTGATTCGAGAGTCGTGGGCTCTGCACGGAGAGAAGGATGGTAGAAAAGGAAAAGGGATGAGAGGTTACCGAGGACAATAGGCTCGGTAAAGTTACCTCATCGCGCAGGACCTCGAGACTGCTGACATGGTCCTGGAGGGTCGTGCTCCTGAGACTGCACTTCTCCCGGAGATGCTTGAGCTCGGCAAAGAGCTGCTCTTCCTGCTTGGCGGCCTCGCGCAGCTGCTCGGCGAGTCTCGCGTTCTGGGCGGTGAGCTCGGTCACGAGATTCGCCTGGTCCCTCTCAGCCCTCCGCGCCCTCTCGCTCTGCTCCTCCAGCTGGGCACGCAGCGACTCGAGGTCGGCCTGGAGCTCGAGGGCGCGCGCCTCGTTCTCGCCCCTCGCCTCCTCGAGCTTGCGACGCAGTAGGTGACGCTCCTGCTCGAGGCTCTGTTAACATAAGGGGACGGAGACGATGAGCGTCGTTAAAAACTTTGACTCCAACACTAGTTCGTCCCGGGGTCTTGCTCGCTTATTGACAAATCAATTTTACTCCCCCGGGTATTGTCAGGCTCGTGGCAATCGCGACTCGTTTATTCGACAGCGGCGACTTTATTTTGATCGGGCTTGGCCGATATTACGACGCACTCGTGAAAAGTGCCTAGAGAAAGTCTCGCGATGACTTTCGTAACTGCCAAAAAGGTCTGCAACGAATAAGCCTTTGATCTCATTTTGCAAATTATATAAGAGACTAATATGAAATCGATAAGCACACATGACACATGGATGACGTTTTAATGTACGAATGCCATACCGCCCTATCTAATCGAATTTTCTTCGTAAAGTCGAATTATATATAATAATATTGTTTCGGAAGAGGAAAGAAAAAGCAGATTTCACTTTACAATTAAACGTTCGCGTACGTGTGTTTCTTTCCTCCTCCTCCTCCCCCCCCCCTCACCCTCCCCCCACTCACACGCTGTGTGTATGTGTTTCTCTCAAGATATCAGTAGTGATAACGTGCCCCAAGTTATCTAATAAAACGGACGTTAATCGGTAGTTGAGATAATGTATCACGGAAGAAATTTGATTATGAAAATTTGAAAATAAGATACACGCTAGGCTTTCTGGAAACATGAAAATATTAAGACAAATTAGAAGTAAACGCGAAGGAAATCATATTTAATGTTTCATTCACTCTGCTTTATATAATCTCAAATGTCCAGGCTCTATTTACTCCCCGCTACAATACAGTTAAGTAGTGAGATTTTTTTCATTTTATATTTTTGGTACTTTTTATTATGGTAAATTTTTTTAATGGGAAAATCACGTAGCCAAACAAAATGCTACGGTAACGTTTATCGATATTTTGCCCACGTATGACGTTTGCAACAATGCAAATCGTTCGAAACTCGTGAAGCCGATGCAATACCACCGAGAAGACGACAATCGCACATTATACAATATTCTATCGTAGGTAAAAAAAATTCACGCAACAATTCGAAAGCAAATACTCTAATCGGTTGTCGCACCCATTCACTCGCAGAGCATAAATGTACGGTGATTTAGAAGGAAAGATATCGTCATCGCAGTATCATCGCAGTCGAAGAAATAGGAGAGCGAGACGATTGCATATAATCTAACCTTTGTAAATCTCTCGTTGCGATCGCAGCAAATATATATCGGACGGCAAGACGAGTAAGACAAAGACTAGAAATGACAGTGAGGAGAGAGAGAGACAGAGAGAGAGAGAGAGAGAGAGACGTCCTTATAACGTGACGCAATATTTGGAATTTGGAAATCATGGCGCGAAATCGACGGGTGCGGATTAAAAATTTCAAGTACAGAAAAATCGACGGAACGCATGTCCAAATGCATTAACATATATCATCATCATGCGACTGACTCACTGACTCGTCTCTGCCATTCTTCACGGATATGAGAAATTACCGCTTTCTCAGAATTGCCCTTTTCAATGTTACGTCCTATTCCTATCAAGGATACGGCTATCCCTATTCCTTATTCCATCCCGGCTTTGCGAATGTTAGAAAAAGGTATGGGTACGAGTTTTACTAACGAATGAGTAATTGTGTTTCCGTAATAGTGTTTTGTTTGTCGTTTCATCCGGCGGAAGATGGGCAGCCGGTATATCATTGATTTTGGTTTTATTTGTAAACAGAGCCGAACCGACAACGTAGTTGCGGTCAGTTCAATATTATACCGTCTGTAGCAGGAGAACAAAAATGTAAATTGCCCGTGTAAAGCAAATTTTAAGACGTGCACTGCCTGCGCACGAAATCTTTTCTTATTCTCTTTCGCCACGCCACGCCTCGTCTCGTCTCGCTCCCCCCCCCCCCCCCCCCCCCGCGCCCCCCCCCACACCC